ATACATTTCGAGTAAAGGCATTTTTAAAGTTTGACATCTTATGTAGAGTTATGTGTATGTGGCATATGCTTTTACCCAAACACTTGTAGTTTTTTTTCTAGTGAATGGAAAATAATAAACTTGGTATTTTTATAAAGCTAATAAGATGGCCTTTAAAATAAAATCATAAAAACATTTGTAAATTTTTTTAAAAATCCTAATTATAGGGTATTTGGATACGTTAAGGGAGTTTGTGGAAGTGTTATACACAAAAGTTCCCATTTTAAATCTATCAGACGACATCTCGCTTGAAATCTGGCAAAAATGTTTCTTCTCTTCATTTAAGATCCTCTAATAATAGCTTTTGTTGAAATAGATTCTAAGGACGTTTGAGGGGGTGTTATATATATAAAAATTTTTGTTCTTGAGCTAATAGAATTTCAAACTCGGAAATGGGCAGCAAGCATGGTTCTTCTGTTAAGTAAAAAATCATTAAGAACAGATTTTTTGCAGAAAAAATCCCAGTAAGAGGAATTATAAGCAAAAATTCTTGTTTTTCACAGTAAGACTTAAAAATTTTAAATTTATCAAACTTGTTTCTTTTGTTAATTAGGAATATCTCAAGAAAGGATTCTGTGGAAATCAGCTCATAAGGGGTTTAAAGAGATTAAATAGGCGTTTTTGATTTAAACTCCCCGTTGATAAACAATTAGACCAACAAACTAGGAGTTTTCAGGCATGTTACTTTTGTTGAGTAGCGATCCGTTAAAAATGTAAATTGAGGAAATCGACTTTGAGTGTGTGGAGCTACAGCAGTGTTTCTCAAAGTTTCAATATTCGCGACCCAATATTTAATCATAATTTTCATCGCGCTCCCCCCCATACAATAACAATGAATTGAATTCAATAATACTATGCTTTGATGATAGAACTACAAAACTGCTTTAACCTCCTAATTGCCACCAGCGTATATGAACGTCTCGCTCAGTCAAAATGCTAATTTCCCCAGACGTATATATACGTCGTTCTGAAGAACAATCTTTCCTGTGCAGTGCTATCCATAAAATTATTCCGAAGGCTTTGGAATGCAATAAAAGAACCTGGACAATGTTTGCAAAGGATTCACTTATTTCAGATTATTTGCTTCTTTATTCCTTCCCGCCCCAATACATCACATATGTGCGCCTACGAAGAAAACGGTTGTCATTGGGAATCGTAAAACTTTCAATCGGCAGTTAAGGGATTAATTATAAGCCATACAAAAATTATCAAGATAAGTATTTATTTTTGTATATATTTATATATATGATAATCTCATAACGTCACTGGTAATTATTAAACTTGTTCTTGTCTTAATATTGTAAAATTAATTATCAAGTACATTGTGTAGCACTGGTACATTTATAAGTGTAACATATCAGTGTAAATGTGCATTTTATTTTTTATTATGTCACAATGTATTTTGTTTGTATATTCTTGTAGTAAATTAACATTTTTTTTAATTCTTTTGTTTTCGACATTTCGATATTCTCGCGCCCCTCTCGTAGAGTTGTCACGTCCCCCAAGGGAGACGCACCCCCACAGTTTGAGAAACGCTGAGCTTAAGGCGTGTGAATGATGAATATACTTTGATTTAAAAATTGAAGACCTGTCCTTTTACGTATAGAGATTAAGGCTATAAGAATATTTTTCAACAGAATCGAAGGCTTAAAGCTAGGACTTAGATAGCAATGACTTAAGAGGAATGTGCAGTGTTACAATGTCATGGCTAATATAGTGGTATAACAAAGGTTCAATTAAAATTATTGAAACAAATGTAATGAATGTTAAGTTTTATGTTGAATATCTTTTATTTCTATCTCTCTCTTTTTAAAATTTATATTATATTATTAAAGGTACTGATTTTTTTTCAAACATATATCCTTATTTCAGAAGAAATTGCATCGAATTTCAAAATGAAAAAAAAAGATAATTGTGGTTCAATTTCTCTAAAAATGTACTAATAATGCATTTTTCCTTATTTAGAAATTTACAATTTATTACTAAAATTCGCAAACGACGTGCCTTATGGAATATAAAAGAGAAAGACAATTATATGATTTTCGATCAAGTCCTCAGAAATGCCATATTTCAATCTGTAGTTACCTTCCATGAATTTCGATCAATATATCCTCGCATAACGAAGGAAGTTCAAATTGCATTGCATTTATGTCTGGGATAAGTAGAAATGGAAATGACGAAAGCGATTTCTTGAAATTCAGAAATTCTAAATTCTTTTTCAATATTGTGACTGGAATTTCTAGTATGTTAATAATGGTTACTTTTTCGTATCTTTTGTACATAGTCTGATGTGGCTTTAAAGCACTGTCTTGGAATTTATCGAATAAATAAATATTTGAAATATCTAGCAATTGTTTGCGCCAATAAACTGATTAATAAAATGTATTTTTAGCACGTTTTTATTATAGCTTCACCTGTATGTAACGGAATCTTTGAACTCGATTTTTACCCACTTTAAATAGTCAGATTAATTCGAAATTTTATACACTTGTTAAGCACGGACGACAATACAGTAATTTAATGATTTTGTTCCATTGTCCTTATCTGGATCACCAGGATTATAATGATTTCCTATTTCCAGAATTGGTGACTAAAAGATTAAGTTACAACCCTAAAGCGAAAATGTTCATGGTTAAAAGAAATAAAGCAAACGAAAAAGATTAATTCATCAATGAAAAAAAATGATAGTTTGAAAAACTAAAAAAACACGCTTTTATTGTAGATCGAACTAAAAAATGAAAAATAAATTATAGTTTTAAAACAATTGAAAAATACGCTTTTATAGTGAATCCAACTAAAAAGTAAAAAATAATTCTTAATATAAGAATAAAAAAATTAATGTCATTGTGGTAAAAGCGTGGGGGGCTTGATATCAATTGCTTTAATTTCTTACAAGTTCTATTCCGAAATGCAGAGTTAGTATAAAAATTTAGTACAAAGCACACCTCACGCATTTACCATAATGACATTAATTTTCTTGTTAATAATTTCATTCTTATATTAAGAATCATTTTTTACTTTTTAGTTCGATTAACTATAAAAGCAAGATTTTTAGTTTTTTTAAAAAACTATAGTTTTTATGAGGTATATTATCTTTTAAGCATGCTAACAAGGTATTGAGTTACAGGAATATTATCTTAAATCATAAAATTAAGTAGGCATATATATATTTGTGCTTGGAGCTATTTAAAATGTTTAACCTTTTAACTGTCAAGCCAGAGATTATCTTTTGCTCGGCACTAGTGCTCCAAAATGCCATACCGTAGTACTGTACGAGGTAATATTTTGGGATATTTTCTATGGATGGTGTAGATCGCTGTGATCTGAAAGCATCTCTTTATCCATCAATCCGAAAACACGAAAAATATATATTATAAAAGGATATTTATATATTTACTGGACAAAAAAAAGTAACTATGGAGCTAATTTTTACTCTAAAAAATGTACTTAAGGAAAAGTATTATATTTTTAGAATTTCTAATCCCTTTTGTAGAAGAGCTTTTACATAAATATGATGTTAGATCTTCTAGAAAAAAACCATTTACAGTACATAACCTTGCCTGTCTTACTGAAAGCGACATTTTATATCCCATAATCCAGTGCTTCTCAAACTTTCAATATACGCGACCCACTATTCAATCATCATTTTCATCGAGCCCCTCTCCATACAATAACAATGTATTCAATTCAATAATACTATACTTTGACACAAAAGCTAAATACGACTTTAACCTCTTATGTGCCACCGACGTGTATATACGTCTCACTCAGCCAAAGTATTAATTTTCTGGACGTATATATACGTCTGTCAGAAGTACGATCCTTTCTGATTAATAATAATATTATAATAAATTATTATTAATAAAATAATTTAATAAAATTATTCCGAGCGCTTTGGAATGCAATAAAAGGACCTTGACAGTGTTTGCGAAGGAATTACTTATTTCAGATGATTTTCGCTTCTTTATTTCTTTCCTCCTCCTCCTCCGCAAGAAAAACATCAAACTACTCTCGTCTACGTGGTAAATGGTGGCATTGGGGAGCGAATTGCGTAACTTTTGATTGGCAGTTAAGGAATTAATTATAAATCGTACAAAATATCAAAATAAATGTTAATATAAGCCCATGAGGTTACTGATAATTATCAAACTTGTTCTTAACTTAGTATAGTTAAATTAATAATAAAATATACATTGTGCAGTACTGATATACATTTATAAGAATATTATATAAGTGTAAATGTGTATTCTATATTTTATTATATCAGAAAGTATTTTGTATTTGTTTACTTTCAGTAAGTTAATAATTTTTAAATAACCTTTTGTCTTCGACTTTTCAACAGGAGTAGTGTAACCTTGTAGTGTTATCACACCCCCAAGTGGTGTGCGCCCCGCAGTTTGAGAAACGCTGCCATAGTCCTTCTTCTCCTGAGAAACATCAGCCTGCAAGCCACTGCAAAGTTTGTTCAAAAAAGGATGTAAGTGGAGAAAGATAAGGAAGGAAACACGATTCTGGTGTAATAATTGCAAATTTCGTCTGTGCCTGGAAAAGTGTTTCCAGTTATACCACACAAATTATTGAACCACGAATAGGCATTCTTCTTTATTTTATTTATTTATTTATTTTTTGTGTATCTTTTTTGGAAAATAATGATCCACACTAGATGAGAAAGCTACTGTTACGCTGTGGGGCAGCCACTTTAATTGAATATGCAGTTGCTATAAAACCTAAAAGTTTTTATGCAAGCAGAATTCAAAATATTATTTTTGAAGTTATACTTCTTTTGGAGCGTTAGAGAAATAGGATGATGGTAAATTTTTACAATGCGCGCTCACCCCATCACGGATGTGACGCACACCGTCACGGATGCGAAAATGCTTTGTCAAAAAATATACAGAACAGGACAAATCATTCCCGCCTTCGAAATCTCAGCAAAATGTTTCACTTCACTTCCCTGAAGAAGGGGACACCCGGGTTGGAACCGGGGACGTCCCGAACGACATTTGAATGCTCTACCACTGAGCTATACCCCCGCGTCAGCGAACCTTTGCTTTGCGTTCCGTAGGAACGGATACGAAAATGCTTTGTCTAGAAATATGCAGAACGGGACAGATCATTCCCGCCTTCGACCCCTCACCATATTTTTGGTTTTATTGTTAATGAACGGGGGTGCTTAAATTTATTTAAACCGTGATTATCTCAGGTTGGGCTGGTCCAATTGACTGAAGGTTAGTATCGTTCAGCTCTGCTCGTGACCGCCTTTCGTCCTTGGCCCAGTTTGCCCTGCTAAAGAGTCTTAGAAAGATTGTAATCTTGTTACGCCAAAGAAGTATAACTTCTTACGTGCGTACATAAGTACACACACACTTTTTTTTAACTAACTAATATATTTTATTTTGTACTAAACATTTGGTTTTTTCAATAAAACATTTGTCAGTTTATGTACTCAAATTATCCCAGTAAGTTGACAGTTAAAGGGTTAATGTACGTTGCTTAGAAATGAAATAAAATATGTATACTTAAAATTAGATTCTTGAAGTATTTTGAAAAATAATGATTTTTTTTCCCCGTGAAGAAATTTTAGAGAAACATAATTTATATTCTTAATTTAGTTTGGCTAAGCTTATCATGAAATATGTTTTGTAAGTATATTATGTTATGCTTTTCTGTCATGGTGGTGTTAACATTTCCAGTGACTATATATAAAGCATATCATTTTTAAAAATAACAATTCCTTCCTGTGTTTGCCGCTTTTATTTTACTTATTTAAGTACTATTTCCCTCTGTATATTTCCTTCAAACGTAGCACATTTAAATGTTTAATTCCTGAAATAAAACTTAAGGTATCCGAATAAGTTCGGAACCGTGATTTTAAAAAAGCGCGTAAATGGATAATTTTCATGATATTTAGTGTCACTTAAATTAGAATACATGTATAAAATTGTTTTAAGGACATTTTGACAAAAAAATATTTTAAATACACTATTTCGGCAAAACGTTAACAGAATAACCTTTTTTCAAAATGTTCTCTTTTTGTGAAAAATGCTTCTATTATAATAATGTTTTGTCTGTATATAGATCAGACCTCTGTACAGAAGTTCAACTATGTGTGTGAGTTTTGAAAAATTCACATTATTTTCAGAGTTACAACTCATTGGAATAATTATCGGCGTGTTTTTCTTAAAATTTCTCCCCTCTGTTGTCGTAAAACATGGATAAACCCACTTCTAAGTTATATATTTGAAAAATTCTAGTTCTGCTTCTGTACAGAAGTCTGAGCTATATACAGGCAAAATATTATTATAATGGAAGCATTTTTCCCAAAGAAGAATAGTTTGAAAATGTGTCATTCTATGTTCATTTTTTGTCAAAATATTGTACTTAAATAATTTTTTACTGCAATACTATTCTTAAAACAATTTTATATTGTACTTAAATAATTTTTTTACTGTAATACTATTCTCTTAAAACAATTTTATATACATTTTCCAATCTAAGTGACACTAAATATCTTAAATATTATTCATTTATAGGCTTTGGCAAAATCACGGTTCCAAATGTAGTCGGATACCTTAAGGTCCATTAACAATTTACTACTGTAGAAACTCCTCCCTTTGAAATTCACCTCTAACACAAGCGATTCCTTCGATTTTATAAAATAGCTCTTTCATTTCTAAAAATTACGGAGCATGTTACGTAAATTACTGCAGCGTACAATCATTTTATTTCATAAAAATTAATTTTCAACTTTTCTGTATTCGAGCAATTTATAATTATGATTAAACATCATGAACTTACTGAAAGTTTCTCTTTGATGATAATACGTAAAACCATTCAATTCAAAAGATTTTACAGAGATGTTACCTTAAATACACTATTCAGTAGTAGTACTAAATTTGAAGTTAGGGTGATATATTTCCTAGACTTTTATGGTAAATGTTCATTCGCTACAGTTAGCATTAATAAGAACTTGTCCACGTTTCGGCAATTCGAAAGAGAATTCAACTTACCTTAAATAGATATATCACAGACAATTAAATAGTCAAAAGTGTAGCCATTTTATAAAGTCACATACCTTCATATCTTAGATTCTCTAAATATTTTCAAGCTGTGTGATCTTGCTTAGTTAATTAATTTTAATATTACGGTTAATATCATCTTTAAGCTTAACAACCAAAAAGATTACTTCCTATGGGGAATTTTGTGCAAATGAAGTATTTATCATTTTTTTAAAATTTTCATTTACTTAGTTTCACCCTTTCGTGAACCCTTTATTTCTCTTTTGAATTTCTCGCCGTTTCTTATGTTTTATTAAAAATTAAGCAATAGCATTTAAGGAAATATATTTTATTTTGCCAATATTTATGTTTACATTTAAATTTTAGGGCAGGGGGGAAATACTTCTTAAGGAGCCATTCACTATCATACAGAAAATTAAATTTAATGATAATTATTTGCCATGAACAGATGAGAAGCATGTTGCAATGTACAAGGGGACATCACACTCTCACGTAGCGAGTCCTCTTTTCTTGTCTTTTTCCATGACATTTCTTTCATTGTCTATAGTTAGAAACCATCTTTGGCATATGATTTCCCACTCTGGCTAAGAGAACATTATCTGGAACTACACACTTCTTTGGAAGCTAGAAAGATGTCCTGCCCTTTTCTCTTGAGGAATATCCGTCTATTATAGGGGTGGTGAACCTTTTTGGATCAACGTGCCATTTTTTCTTTCTGAAATTTTTAAGGAGGTAGAAACGTGCCATCGAATAATTTTGACTTGTGATTATTGAGAAAATAATAAAATTAAACACTAACAACTCAAAACTCTTTATTTACAAAGCAAAATACATTTTACACTTTATAGTAGTAAACGTTTTAGTTTTATACGTGTAATTTATATTAAAGTAACATTAGTGTGAATTCTGTTGTGGTAGATTGGATGACAAATAACTTGTATTAGGACTGCAAGATGTTAATTTCAGAATGAAAGCTGAATCGGACCATCTTCCAAACGGTTTCTAAGTGAGTCTTTAATGTTATTCATCTATGAAAATAATGACTGTCTCACATGCATAGGTAGATGAAAATATGGTTAAAATAGCATGAGCTAGTTTCTTCAAACAGCTAAATGTGTCTGGAATTGAATTCCCTGTTTCCAAAATTTCATTACAAGCATTTTTACTTTTTTTGCTTGTTATAATCTTTTTGTTTTAATCAATTCCAGCTTTTTCCTTGTTTCAAAAAATTTTGAATCCATATTGAACTAGACTGGAAATCAATCAGTTCCATTTCAAATTTTTCAATTTACAACTAATCGCTTAGGGACAAATTCAGTTCATTAAATGGTCACATCAAGGTACATGAAGAACTCGAGCGCTTCCGATAACTCTTTGAACTGAGAAAATCTCGCTGAAAACTACGACTGATCACTCACGTTTTTCGTAACACTTCATATTGAACTTTGCTATTTTGAATTAAAATGTAAACCATTTTGATCGATGGTGTTCCCAAAAAATGTATCGTGTGCCATCAATGGCACGCGTGCCAATAGTTCGCCATCCCTGGTCTTTTAGCTCACGTGCTGATGCGATACAGAATGTTAGCTTGCCTATACTTTTGTTACTTTTGTTCACTTGCTACGGTATAAAACTATTTATGATGACAAGGTCAATAAGAAAATAAAAGGAAAGATGCCACCATTTTACAGATCTTCTTTTTATTTGATATCTTTCTTTTCTTTGATCCAAGCAATCAACCCCTCCCATGTCATCGTTATATACAGAGACAGCTTTTGGACAAAGTACTTCTTCTTTAGTACCATCTTTTTTTTTTTGTTGTTGTTCAATTTATAGATGTCATAATCACTGGATTATGTGCAGTAGAACATGAGTTTGTCTTTCCACCGTTATAATAGAAAGACCAATGTAGTATAACGAGTTTTGTTCTTCCCCTGTTTGTATTTTGTAAGATCATGTAGATGGAAAGTAACCCTCCTAAGGCCTACGAAAGGGCTAATGAGATAGATTTACTCGAATCTAAAGCAAAGTTACCTCATGTTCTTTTCACCCTTACAAGATCATAAGGTTACTAAGAATAAATATTTATATGTATTTGCTTATTTTAGTTTACTTAGACATAAAATAAATAAAAAAAACCAAGAAAAGTATAGAACAAAATGTAATTATTTTGGATCAATGTGTCGATTGAATTTGGATCAATGTGTTCATTGAATTTGGATCAATGCGTTGATTCAGTTTGGATTAATGTCTCAATTCAATTTGGATCAATGTGTAGTTTTATCAAGCATTTATTTTTTCATTTGTTCAAATATAATTTATTGTTGATCAGAATTATACTAACCGAATAAAATAAAACATGTAAGAAAACTCAGTAATACATAGTTGATGGACACAATAAACTGAAACAATTAATAAGGATAAGAATACAATCCACAGATGTTTTATCATTGGTGCGGAATCATTTGACTGTAATCTTTTTCTTTTTTCTTCTTTTTTTAAATGTTCTCGTTTATGTAATTGCTTTCGGAATACGTTCCATTTTGACATTCTGTATGAAAAATAAAGTTTATCCTTAAATATTATAACTACCATTTTTAATTTTTAGGTAAGCGTTTCCTCACGCTGGTGTGGAAGTATGGAGTTGAAGTCATCTTCGTCACTTAACGAGGCGAAAAATAAAAAGGCTTGGCGCCAGTAGTCCTCTTGTTGCTTCAAAATGCGATTATAATAATCAATCAATCACAATATATATTTTTCTGACAATTGTTTTTTATTTACATTTGTAAATATCAAAAATGTCTCATCTTTTTAACTAAAAAAAAATAAATAATACTAAAATGTTTTATAGTTCATATGGATACATATGCATAGTATCCCGGAACAAAACCAAAATTGTACAGCAATTTATTTATTTTGAGATCTAATATATCACATTTACAAAACTTTCATTTTTTAAAAAATAACATCACTTCTGATAATTTTTATAATAGCAAAAAATTTCTAGTTTATTA